AAAGGAGATAAAAAACTGATTTTTGGAAAAAAGAGAAGTATCATAAAAATAATGCTGTCGAATTCACAAAATATTAATCAATTTGTATATCACATCACTGAACAAAAGAATGATTATAATCTGATTGTAAACAGTATAATGAAATGTTTTGTTCAAAGTGAAGATAATAAACAATGAAAAGAGTGCAAATATAACTTTAAGATGACATGAGAATATGCCATGTCATATTTTATATCAAATAATGTGAGCATTGTATTGAACTAATAGAAAAAAAAATTGAGCTTTTTTGTGTTTAACAATGCATATTTAACGCTATGCATTCTATTCTATTTTAATAATGTAGATGAAAATTGCATTACTGATTATTTTATCTTATAAGATGAAATGATATATTTATTGAAAATGGGTATTTTATCATATAACGGAAGATAATATTCTTTCTTTTTAATATTTATATATGTCACTAAAATCACAAATTTTTATAAATAATATATGAAAAATCAACAAAGAATGACAGGGTAGTACCTACTTTGATTAAATATAAGTGATCAAATATAATATTATCTGTTCTTTTTTAAACTAGAAGATTTATTAATATAAGCAAATTCTTACTGAGAAAAAAATCTTTTAATTTACAAGGTAATAGATCTTAATCTCAATTAATTTATTTTATTAGCATATTAGTTGACAAATTAGTCAGATGCCATTGAATAGCAGCTTATGTTAATAAGACTTTATAATCTATAAGGCAATAATTCTTCACCTGAATTAGTTCATTTAGTTGATTAAAATATCAGTTAATAAGTTAGTTCAATGAAATTGAATAAATGCTTATTAGTTTAATTTCAACTAAATTTTACCCAGAGCTTTTTATTAATTTATATTGGTAAACAATCTTTTATTTTATTTCAGAGTAAGTACTTCCTAAGGATATTGGTATTTTCATTTGTGATAACTTTTATAAAGACAGACGAAGTGAGATTCAATAGGTGCAGATGAATAAAACAACAGTCTGTAGTTTATGGTGAGAAAATCGATATTAATTTCTTGTTCAATATTTTTATTATGACTCATAGAGTATTAAAAACCGATTATAAGTCAAATCTAGTGTAGATTTCCAACTAATAAGAAATTCTCTATGTTATTAAATTGCTTTTGACCCAAGATGAACAATCAGTCACGAAATAGTACAATGTCACATGAAGTATGTCAAAATGCGTAGGCTTTTTAGTACAAATATTTAGATTATTATCGATCTTATATTACTCATTTCTGTTTATTTTATATCAAAATAGATCTTTTCTTATTATTCTAATTTTGCTAGCTAAATTAACTTGAATTAAACACGTATATTGTAAAGATAACATTGATTTATGCTTAAACTACCAAGAAAGAAAAATAATATTTCTGGTACTTCTTGGTATTTCTCCGTACTTTTTTTATACTTCATTAAATTTCTCCGTACTTCTGAAGTATGAAAAAGTATAGAAATATGCTTTTTGTCTCCCCTTGTAAACTCTACCATATAATAATTACCATTAGAGCATTTCCTGTATACTTTGAAAAAACTTCGTATATCATGTTTTAGACATATTTTCAGTGTTACTTTTCTACTCTTGCACTAAAGATATATGAAGCACATATTTATGTCTTAATACACATAAAAAATAATAGTATAAATGGGTAAAATTATTTGTTAGAGACGTGACTTCGCAAAATAACAAGACGTGTATCTCGAAATAATGAACTTTCCTAGAATTAGTTTTTACATGTTACATATATATTAAGTTACTCTAGACATATTGAAAAATATCAGCGCTAGAGACTTTTGTTCAGAGAAATTATTAGTAAAAATCTAGCTTTAGCGATGTGATGACATACAAAAAAAAATACTTTTATAACCGAATGAAAAGGTCAAAATCAATTTTAAACGATACGAATCTTTCTTCAAAATCTCGAGATGAAAGTAAGACAAAAGTTTTTGTTTAGATATTTCATAGGATCTTTAGAAAAATAATTTTAAAAGGAAGTTTTTTAGAGTCTGATCTTGCTAGAAATTTCATCATAGCTGCGGTTTCTCATTTAGAGTTTATGCTGAAGCTTTTGACTCTTTTTCTTGCATAGTTAATCAGGAAAATAACCTTTGTAAAGAATCAAAGTTAAATGAAAGATGAATATGCTCCCTTTTGCCTGAAATGACTCATATTCGTCTTCATCCTGTGATTATCGAAGGTACCAATATACTATGCGGTTTAACAAGATAACGTTTCTTAATCATAATTTTTTTTTCGAGTAGTGAGTTTTCATTATCTCTTCTTTTTTTAATTTTATTTCCTATGTTTCACCCTGTGACCTTAATGGTCCTAAAGAAATAGCTGCCTAATAACAATAACAAGTGTATTCGTTAGGAGGAGATGTATACAACATCCAAGAAAAGCAAGGAAACAGAACAGAAAAAAAAACACAAGAATTAGTATCTTGACAGAAAGATAAACAAAAGTAAACATAGTGCAGAGGATGACCCATTATGGTAAAAGATAATTGACAAAAAGACAATGTCAAGAGAAAATAAGAACAGTTGATTGCATTAGAATGCCTCTGGAAATTCAGCATAGCATCTTATATCATCCACATTGATAATCGTTATTGAGTCAGATGAACCGTGATTTGATAACTAATCTAAGATATGCCCAAACACATCTATATGAGAAGCAAATCATTTAGAACGGTCGAGTAAATGAGACGATCTTTTTCCGTCTTATCACACCGAACTATTGACATTTAAGCACAACAGATAATAGTCTAAGGATTTAAGTATTTTCTTAAGATATTTGTTCTAGCATTCATAATATAGATTATTAAGTGTGCACTCGTCGTAAGCGAATGCAAAAAATATATCGTTCCAGTAAAGCTAGTGATTAACCCGTTTAAGAGATGTATAGTACAAATGATTGTTGCAAATCTGTGAAGCTCGTCGGATTCTAGTCCAAGACTGATCCAACAGACTCTATCATGGCATCGCTAATCCGGAGATATACTAGTCAACGATACCATTAAGTAATTAATCTGATTGACAGTAGGGGAACACCACAGAGTGACGATAAGGTTGTAATCGGTCTCGAGCAGCAGCTACACTTTATTGATAAATAATAATGTGAAATAAATGCTGAAAAAACGTTAATGATCAAAAATGCTATCACCCTAGTTTAATAAAGATTCTACTATACTTAATGTGACCGAAGGTTTCAAGGTTTTCAGTAGTTAATAAACAGGTTCAATCAGAATTTACTCCAATAAAATTGTTATTTATATGAAAAACATTGTATTCATGTGCTACAGATATTTACTTAAACGAAGGCATCTGTCATAAATGAGACCAATGAGTTTCTAAAGCAAAATATACTTTCTCAAAATTGTATGTAGACAAAAAGTGAGAACTTCTATGTTAAATTTCTTAGAAGTATTTTTTCCTAATTGCACTTTCAAGATGAGAATATTAATAGTTCTAGAAGACTAATTTGATTATGTGGATGTGGGTGTGTGTCGTCGTTTCTACTATAAGAAAAATAATTAAACAGTTATATACTTGATTTGTAGTACAACTAGTTTTTACATCATTATATACGTATTATAATCTGAAATCGATTTGAATGTGAAATATTAAAAAATACTGATGTATAAATTTAAAATGCAATGAATATTGTGATCATACAGATGTATTTACATCAATAAAAATAATAAGGTCCCAAGAGAATAAAATCGAAAATGACATAAAATGTCAATCATCAAATGATCCGAACCAAGTGCAATACCAAATAGATAAATAAGATATAGTTCGATATTTGTATAATTCTAATAGTAATATCATTGAATAATTTATGTACGTTTATTTCAAAAAAAAAAAAGATTCAGAGTAAAAGAACCGAAGGAACTATGTCTAATTTAATTATCTTCTTCTCTTACTATTATTTTCATTCTAATCGATAATATAAAGTGAAGAAAAAACACTAACAATTATAGATTATCAATAATAGAATAGTATACGATAGCATCTATAATATTCTACAAAAAAAGAAAAAGAAAAACCGATGAATATACTAATATATTCAGCATGTTAAATCGTCTTTGTCTTTTTGCGAGGTCTCATTTAGTACGTTTCGTATGTTCTGTCTTATTTCTATGTAAATCATGTCATCGTTTTTTTTCTTCTTTCTAATCATTGCAATTATTCTTTTCATTTGCATTATATTTATTAATATTTATCATGCATTGCAGACATTCGCCTTTCATTAATATTTGGTCAATAAAAAAAAAAACATTTTTGATCTTCTGTCGTTTCTTTTTTTTTTCGAAAAAAAAACATTTAGTAGAATCGAGTTGATAAAATAATAAAGATAGATAAAATTTATTTTATATCTAATTGCTCTGCGTTATATTTTTGTAAAGCAATGCCAAAGATGACAATTGAAGCAGAAATATTACTACTCAAGCGACACGAATGACAAGAAGAAATAGAACTGCCAAAGAAGAAATTTCGAGAAGAAAGGAGGAAGTGTCAAATGAGAAAAAGTCTGAATGCTAGCGTTTGTATTAGACGAACGAACAATTGTCTTTTCTGATCTCCTCCTCCTTCTTGCTTTTTTCTTTTCCTCAACCACGCACTTTCCTACAGCGTAGGCAGTTGTTTCATTTAATAGAGTTGGCGTTCTATTACACACATGCTCATAGACATACATATATATATATAGTTGCGTGCTAGTTAATAGGTAAAAACATGAAGTTAATTATGAGAAAGAAAAAAAAGATGATGTGTCTACTAGGTGTCTTACACCAGGTAGTAATAAGGAAATGAACATCCGCATATCCATATATCAACTATATACTTCCACTGACTATTTTTTATGACTTGATAGTAAGTGACTTTAATATAACAAGAAAGGAAATAAATTAGTTAAATGATATCTTGATTGAACTTTTGTTTCTTTTTTTTTATATTCTTGATGGATAATATTAATCTTCCTTCATCTGATTCGACCACAAAAATCGATGAAGAATCAACAACTGATAATGAAGTTACGGTAAAATATGAATTAATAAAAGATCAAATATTTGACGTTGGCCCACGTTATACAAATTTAAAATATATTGGTGAAGGTGCTTATGGTATGGTTGTATCAGGTTATGATAATGAAACATGTCAACGAGTTGCAATAAAAAAATTATCTCCATTTGAACATCAATGTTTTTGTCAACGTACATTACGTGAAATAAAAATTTTAGCCAGATTTAAACATGAAAATATTATTAATATACTAGATATTTTACATTCAAATATATTTGAACAAATGAAAGATATTTATTTAGTACAACAATTAATGGAATGTGATATGTGTAAATTAATTAAATATCAAAAACTAAGTAAGTCTAACGAATAGAAAAAATTATAAAATAAAAAGAAAATTTATTATTTTTTTTCGTTATATAAGGTCCAGAACATGTTTGTTATTTACTTTATCAAATTTTACGCGGACTGAAGTATATTCATTCAGCAAATGTACTTCATCGTGATCTTAAACCATCAAATTTATTATTAAATACAAATTGTGATTTAAAAATATGCGATTTTGGTTTAGCTCGAGTTGCTGATCCATCATTTGATCACAATGGTGTACTTACTGAATATGTAAATATTACTCTTCGTTTTTAAAACTATTCAAAATTAAGTTAATATATGCATATAGGTAGCTACAAGATGGTATCGAGCACCGGAAATAATGCTCAATGCTCGTGTGTATAACAAACCAATTGATGTATGGTCCGTCGGATGTATACTAGGTGAAATGCTTGATGGAAAACCATTATTTCCTGGTTCGTTTTACTTATTTGAAAAAAAAAAACTTGATTTATTTTACTCGATTATCTTTCTATTAGGTAAACATTATATTGATCAACTCAATTTAATTCTTAATGTTGTTGGTTCTCCAAATGAACATGATTTAACATCAATTGCGAATGAAAAAGCACGAAATTATTTAGTTTCTTTAAAACCTCGTGTAAAACAACCTTTTACTCTTCTTTATCCTAATTCAGATAAAAATGCATTAGATTTACTTGATCGTTTATTAACATTTGATCCAAATAAACGTATTAATGTATCCGATGCACTTGCACATCCATATTTAAAGCCACATCATGATGCAAATGATGAACCTATTACTAAACATCCATTTACTGTTGAAATGGAAATGGATGACTATCCAATATCAGAATTAAAACAATTAATATGGTATGAAACAAAATTAATTAAAAAACATATCTCATTACAAAAAATGCCTATTACACCATAATAAAAAAAAAAAGTTTTATGCTGTTGTTAAGAGTCTTTTTTCAAGGGCTGATTCTTTGCATTGTTTTTTTCTCCCTTTGTTGTTTTGTTCTTAATGTACAGATAAAAAGAAAAGATAAAAGCTAGGCTTTTAATTTTTTTTCCAATATAAGAAAAAGATATACATCATGATTATTTTCTAGAGATTTAAATTAACTTCTAGTCATCTCAATCAGTTTGGAATGTCATAAATCTTATGTGTTTTATATTATCTAATAATATAAACACTCCAACTTTATGAAGAATGATAATATCCATATTTATTCAATTCTATTAGATAGATGAATTATTTACAAAATCAACGAGAAAATTGCTAATGCTTATATTAAATATATTTATAAGGCAATTTACTTAGAAGTTAAGAAACCTACAAATGTATAATAAATGTCCTCGAGTAATATATGATTCTAGTTCATTGACTATATTTTATTTAGATTACTTTTTCTTAGTGTAATAGTACCTTTGAACCAAAAAATGTTCTGAAACAGATAGAATATAATAATTAACAGATTATTTAATTTATATAGTATTAAGAATACTATGTTTTATGTACGTAGTATATCTCATGAATGAAAATATAATTAAATATTCTTACTCCAGAATTAAGAATTTATATTTTTCTTTCCTGTGAATAGTATATTTATTCAGAGAAAAACTATGTTAAACATAGCAATATGTTAATTATATATTCAATTTAATGATATTGTTTGAATAAATAATAGAAGGGAAATAAATAAATTTCATGATAATGTAAAAGATAAGTAGTATTTAATTTAAGTATAAAAAAAACATTGAAACTATATAATTTGCCAGAAAAAAAAAATGTAGAGTAATGTTGTATGTATAAGATAGAATCTGGTGTAATCATTCTACTTGAAAAGTTCAAGTACATAAATATCGTGTACCAATTAGCAGGACAAAGATATTTTTCAGACTTCATTTAACTTATTCACACATGACATTTTACTACAGGAAATCTTACAATGAAATGTATAGAAAAAAATGATATTTAGTGCAAACAACATATTTGATTGCACTATTACAAACACAGATGAGTATTTGTTAATAACTTAGCTATTGCATTATTCATCCACTAAGAAAGAACAGATTTGTCTTCCTCTGGTATTATACTCTTTACCCTCACTAGTGCTTTCAGAAGCGCCACTGAGAAATTATCAGAAAAATAGAATATTAGTCTTGTTCATATGTTGATGGTAAGTATAGAACGACCAGACGCATTACACTTGATGTAAAGTTAAAGTTGTAGCTGGAAAGCATGTTCTCTTATCGAGATATTGAATTTTCAAGTAAATTCGATTTTTGTGACAAGTCTGCGGCAAGCGATTAAAGTTCAACATCTTGATATAAAAACATTCTTTTTAGCAGAAACTTTCAGAATATTCATTCGATCTATTAATGGACGAAATTTTAGATCGAAATTACATTATTTGGTTTGTCCGTAAATACTTAAAAATGGGTCAAAAACTGAGTAAAACGGTCATAACTCGACTTCAAGACCCATAAATACGAACTTTGTTTGAATTTTTCTAGTTTTACAGAGACCTCCTTGTGGGTCCAATATGAGTTCAAACGGTGGATGACAGTTGGAGTAGTTCTCTTGTAATTAATAATATAATAAATGATGGTATTACGTTTACCTCCGATAGTTGTTGCAAAATCCATTCAATATTTTAGCATGTTTTATGTGGCAAACTAATGAGATGGATGTGAAACGCATTTGATTCATTAGTAAATATATTGAGTTATAAGTAAATCTTGACAGGACTCAAAAACTTTTTCTGCAGAGGAAAAAAATCTTATTTTTCTAATTACCAATCTTTATCAAATAAATTCCGCAAAATATATAGTGATTGACAGTGAAGTCTACTCTGTAAAATGAAGCCAGAATGAAGAATTTTAATTAATACGCTAGGAAATTTCAGAGACAGATTGTAAGAAAATTACTGCTTTGTAGAGAATTATTTTCTGTATCTTCCAATATATTCGATAAAGTTTTGTGACATATCGCGAGTAAGCTCCATACGAGGCAAGTCATAGAAAAATTCTAAGCATATACTTTTTGATCCACCACTTATTTTACTTTCAAGTACAAAAAACTTCTAAACCCGGAAGTTTTATTTTTCTAATCTTATCAGTGTTTTACGCTATGCTTTTAAGAGACAGAACAATTCAACAAAAAAGATATTTTTAGCAATTGATAGTTTATTAAAAGTTCTTTACAAGTAGCGTTGAGTAAATTATAGATCATATGATTTAGTTTTCTTTCAACATTATTTTTTGTCAATATTCACGCCTAGTGAATTTTTCGAGGCTTCTGAAAAAGAAATTGGAATTTTCAGAGTCGATAGGTCTTGATGAGGAAAACAAAAGTTTTCGTAGACTCCAAAATCCAAATACTTCCTTCTAGGAAATATCTGGGTCTCAAACGCTGAAAATCGTCCCGTTTTCTCAACCGCGAAGTGCCGAATGTTTCTTTACCACTGAGCGCACCTGGAAAAATGCACGTTTTTTTTGATAAAATCTACAAAAAAATCCACGTACTTCAAACAACATTCTATACCTGTGAAAAAGCATCAGCTCAATCGAACGTACTAAGTCGTAGAAACGGGAGACAATTCTGCACTTTTTTTTTCTGTAAAAATTCATTTCGAGAAAAGTAAATTTTCCTGTATGTATCAAGACTTGTTTTCTCCAACTAAAGTTATTGAAAACTGACGCTATTAGAGATCCATGATTGATGCTTTCAACATCTTTGCAATGAGAAATAATCATCATCATTAGGAAAATTTTCACATACAAAGAATAATCGCAGTGCGAGTTTTACAAGACTTAGGTTTAATAATAGTACTAACTAATGACGAAGAGTGCATCTCACAGAGGACACCTCGAAGCCATATTGGCGATGGAAAGCTAAAAATTGAAAACATTTTGATTAATATCCGGAAAGACAGGAGACAATGATCATAACACATTCGCAGCGACATGATACATCCGTAGATCATTGCATACAGCGTCACTCAAATGTATTCGCCACATTAGATCTTGAACTCGTGAGAGTCCTATAGGTTGAGACTTTGGAAGAATATTTATTTTGATGAACTTTAATCGTGGATACAAATCGCAGTTCGAATGTTTAAGTCCTGAATATGATAAATCAAATCGATTGATTTTAAATAGTGATCAAAAAAGAAATATCATCTACGCAAAATTTATACTATTACAACGTTGAAACTCAATGCACCTTGAATGTTCTCTTACAGAGAACTGATAGCCAGACAACACTATTCTCATGGTAAAATTCTCAAGCAATTTGCTTTAGTAGTACGATCATCAGAGACTTGTCTTGATTAATATGTACCGGTGCGTGCCCTTTTTCTGGCAGTATAACGTAAATCGCTAACATTTGCAGAAAACGTAGAATAAGGGTTGAAAAGTATCCGGTAAAAAGTCAGCCTTAAAATACTGTATCATTGTGAAATTAAGGTATCTCGAAGTGTAACATCCGATTTCTGGAAAATGATAAAGTTGTAGATCTGATGAAATACAAAAGGGCATTCAGACTGTGGTTTGTGTTGACGATTAGAAGGTATTAAGAAATACATTTCTGGACAGTTTCAGTTCATGCGACTTGAGCAAGTCCAAGATTTAGTGTATTCAATACTTTTGAGAGTCACTGTTTGTCATGAATGTGCAACAACGAAAATATTAGATTTTTGCTTGAATAAAATAATAAAAGTTGTAAAAGTAATATTTTTTGAAATACATCAAATTGTTTATTTTATATCGATCAACAGAAAGAAAAGAAGAAACATGATTTGCCATGTAAGTGACTGCAATGGAAAATAAAAAAAAAGAATTGGAATTTTTATGGTTGACAGTCAGAAAAAAAGAAAGAAAAGAGATGTATAGAGTTGGAATTCTACACATATTTAATACTAATAAAAGAAATGATTGCCAAAAGAAAGGACACAAAAAAAACTACACACATACATTAAATAGAATTTATTTACTAGTGTCACTACGAGAACATAAGATCATGTATTTGGTGACTTGAATATAATCGATCAAACAGATTATTGTATAAAGAATTTGATTTAAGAAAAAATTGTTATTACTTCACGTCCACTACCACGCATCAATAATAAACGATCTAAACCTTCTGTTAATACATCAACATATTCCATATATGAATAAGCAGCTAAACTTGTCTGTTTCGATGGTGGTGATGGAAGATTAATAAGAACAAGTTTAGCATCACTTGAACGATCACGAATTTTTTGATTAAGTCGTACAGCTGAATGCATTTTACGCATTGATGATTCACTTCTATGAAGAAAAAAACACAACAAAATCAATCAAGATATTAACATGTTTTTGGTTTTAGTTTTACACAGATTTTTTTAAATTTTCAAGTTGATTTGGTGTAAATGTATAATGATATTGATCATCTGATTCATCAATACTTTGTTGTCGTTGACTATTTAACAGTGATTCCATTAATATTTGTGGCTAAAAAAAAAAGTTTCGATTAATATATATATACATATGAGATAGTCTTTGAATAATCAAGTACAAGTAGTACGAATCAATACATAAGCATAGATTAAAAAAAAAAGGGAAAGTAGATCAATCAAAAGCTAGACATGACACAAAGATTATCATTATACTGATCACCTTGCTCGCTCGACGTTCAAAACCTTTAGCCTATATATATATAAATACAATCATTGTTTGCCAAATAAAAATTATAAATGAAAAAAAAAAGAGAATTCGATGTTAAAATGATCTACCTGAAGTTGTAGTTCTTTATCAGGTAATTTCAAATCTTTTAAAAGTTTAACACGTTCAGCCAATTTTAATGTTCGTTCATAAGCATAAGCTGATATTTCTTGATTTTCCTATAAAATTAATATAACATTTAAATTTAATTCGAAAAAACATTTCTAAAAATCAAACCATTTCAACAACATCAACTTCAGCTTCAATACGTAATTGATACATATATTGTTCAAGATCTTTTTTCATTTCAACTGAATTATCTTCGAGTTGTGCAACAGTAAATAAACGCAAACGACAACGTGACCATACTTTATGACGTTTTAAAAGAAAAGCAATAAGAAAAAGAAGACCACCATCATGAATAATCCACCATATATCAATTGTGCCCTCTTGAATTTCTTTATTATCTGGAAAACTATTTATATTTTTTGGTACAATAACAGCACATCGACGTGCTTCAGCAACAGCAATAGTACCTATATTAAAATTCATACGACATAAATAATACTTAAACATATATATACTTAAACATACGAATAAATGCATCAGCTGTATAACTTTCATAATCTTTTTTCCAATGTAATGGCCAACAAAGAACGATTGTGTTTGGTTTTAAACCACCTAAACCTTCAGTTTGAATTCTATATAAAAGAAAAAGAATATACTAAAAATTGAAATTCGAATAAAATTTACATACAGTGCACTGATACCATCTTCAGCATCTTTAGCAACAAGTACTTCAGCAAAGCCTTGAACTTTCGCTAGAGCTAAAGTAGTTTTTAGCAACTAAAATATGGATTAAAAAAAATTATTGATTTCAGCAAATACAAAATATATGTAATTCTATTTAAAAAACACACTGAATACATAATAAAAACTTAATGCTGAAGTCTTTTAACCGGTAAATTACTTTTGAGTCGAGATTTTTTAGACTCAACTTAGTTAGGACTAGTCTGAAAAGAGTTCGTACATTTGGTGCAGCGATAATGTACTTTTTCGGTATTTTTTAAATGACTGCAGAAACAACCGAATAATTAATTTTCAAATTGGAATGTCACATGACGATAGGCTTCAATGAAAATAATTTTTTGTGAATGTTTCAAATCTTGTTGCTGTTCTTATCCTAAGATGCAACAATGTTAATAGCATGTCTTTTAATATCGCTCATATAAACCGGCAGATTTTATGCTCTTATTTCAAGATAGAAACAAATTTAAAAAAATGACACTACTCTCGTTAAGGCCTTTCTATATGCAAAGTTTCAAATCTGAATTCGAAAATCACTTTTTCTGGACCATGATATTCATTTTAAAAAAATCCTGTAGAAGTGCAATGTCTTCGTAGCAAGAGCATGAACTCTTTTCAGAATATGCATAGTTAATTTGAGTCTCCATAATCTCGGTACAAAAGCGATTTATCAATTGAAGAACTTCCATCGTAAAATTTAGTACATAATAATTTAAACATCTAGACAGTCAGTATGATGCAGTTTATACTAAATAGGAAATATGAAGGTAATGTTACAAAATAAACTGATTGTTTTCAAATACAATACGTCTCATACGACCGACGCATTTACTATTGGAAATCAATTAATGAAAAGCTGGTCAATTAGTAGTTCAAGATCTCTAAAAAACTGATCATTCTTTTTAATTAAATTCTTCTCAAACACGTTTAAACAGCCTAATCGTATTTCTTGTTTGAGTGTTTTCACGTCTGTTTGGAGAACACTAATACTACTAATTACTTTCATTATTTGTGATCTGTGAAGGCATTTAATAGAGAAACTTTTGTGTCTGAAAAATAGAAATTTTTATCTGTAAAAAATGTGAAAATATTGCAGAAAAAATCTTATTACACATTTTTGTGATGGAAAAGTTGATTTTTTAAAGCGTCCTCATGCTTCTTTTATAATTAAAGTAACAGATCTTAGTGTTTTCTGAGTGAACACGAAAATCCTCACACATCAACTACGATGGGAGCGTTTACATACGTATTCAGAAATTCTTTTCTGCTTAAGTTCTCATCTCTATTTAAATATATTTAACGTTCACTTTAGATGTAAGACAAATATCTATCGAGCTTTCGTAAGTAAACTATTCATTTATGTAATATTAACATATCTAGTAGTTCTTATACTTACTGAACGAACTGGTTCAATATATTGATATTTATCAAGATAATCGCCTTCGAGAATACTTGCTGCAACAACAAAACCTTGTCCTAGGAATAAATTATTATGATAATCATGCATAGAAATGAATATATTAATTTACCAGCTTTAAGTTGATAGAGAAAATTCAATAATCTCGGATGACGTAATACATATGATTCATCTTCTTCATTTCGTTGTACATTAATAAATGCAAGTAATTGTGGTCGCCAGTTTTTAGTATGAGGTGGAGCTTCATCAACACGATATAATGCATAACGAGCTGCTGACATTGATAAACCACGTATACCATCACCCCATTCTTTTTCGGCTCTATTTAAATATTAAGAAAATACATTTAAAAATTTGAAGAAGAAAAAGTTTTTTTTTTTCTTTAAGTATTTTAATACCCTTTATATTCAATAAATTTATATATAACTATTGCAATAATCATTGCTATAAGTGCAAAATACCATGAAGCCATAAACATAATTGAAATAGAAAGAAGAACACCCATAAGAGATAAAATCCTAAAATAAAAATCAATTTTTATTCTTAAATAAAAAGTTTATTTTTACCAATGATAAAAACGAAAACGTGGTCGCCAACTAGGTGCACGTAAAATAGTTTGTAAAGCACAAGCTAAATTAACAAAACCATAACATAATAAAAAGAACCTAAAAGAACGATGAATTATAAAAAATTTATTTTTAAAAATTTTCTTGTTTCATTTACATTGATAAAAGTGCTGTAAGTTTATCAAGATCAGCAATAAGAATACCACATTCACAAATTAATAATGTTAAAAAAAGTGCTGGTACTGGTTCACCACGATAAGATTTTGCCAATGGACCAAGAATCGGTATTAAATCATCTTTAGCTACAGCTTGTAACAAACGCGGTGCACCTTAAAATCAAAATTAATTATTAATATAATAAAGACCAATTGTTCAATTTTTGTTTCGAATTTCTTTCATTCGAACATTTTAACAGTATGAACTAAAAGCAAACTTACGCGAGATCATATCTAAGAAGAAGGAAGAACATGTCTGCCTTGCAGTACTGATGTTTGAACACAACTAGTTGTGGGATATCGTTCGACTTCATATTATGACTCTTTGAGATTAAGAACAATTTAAAGGTACCTCCCTCGTTGGGGCTACTTCTGGTTCTCTACGAGAGTACAATTTGTCGGGCTCAAAATTTCATTGTAGCTAGATTATTGGAAATGATGAGGTTTATGTTTGAGCAAAAAACTTTAAAAGTAGACTTTCAATAGCCATTGCTCTCACTTTGTTTGCAAGTACCTAAGACAAAGTCTCAAAAGTTTTTAAAAACTATCAATCTTTCGATTTTCAACTAGGACAATACGCGAAGTACCAGCTCAAAAACAAGAGAGAGGTACCATGAAAAGGTCTGATCTCATGACGTGCTACTGATGAAAAGTCATAAGCGTTTCAATGGAATTTTCATTGAGAACAAGGTATTTCCGAAAAGCCCAAAACAAAGATTTTTTTTGCTGAAACTTCGCCTATAGGTACATTTACCAGCCATTAGATAGTTCTGAAATCTTCAACGCGACCAAACATATCCTTCTTGATATATTCAAGTTCTAAGAAAGCAACAATACTTTCGTAGTCTTAAAAGAATTTTCAAAATGCTTTTTCCTTTTTTTTTTTTTACAGAAGTTCATCCAAGAACTGAAAATTGTATCAATTAAAGTTTGTCAATTTTTTTTTGTAAATATTTTTACCTGTTAAAGTTTGTAAACCAGCTCCAACAGTCGAGCAAAATGCTCCAATCATAATAACCCATTTACTTGGCCATGCTAAAGCAGCAACGACTAATTGTTTATTAATACTATCGCCAAATTTATCTCTTAATAATGAACTATGTGTACATGCACCCAAAAATATAACATTTGATAAATCTAGAAATAATAAAAAATTTCAATGAACATATATATTTGAATCGATAAAAATTTTATACAAATGGTTGATGTTGTTAAAATAGCAGCAATAGTTCCACGTGGAATACTTTGACTTGGATCACGTAAATCACCACTACGATTTGAACCAGCCATAATACCTATGACGAAAAACAAATGATTGATTTTTCTTTGATTTTATGAAAAACAAAAAGGACTTATTTTACCAGTTACAGATGGAAAATAAATACCAACAAGAATTAAAAAGGTTGTTATTTCTTGTGCAACAACTTCAAATGTTGAATCACCTTTAATATCATGTTCAACTTCACCTACACCTCGATAATGTGAAACAAGATTTTCTAAAAAAAAGAAACTAAAGCCATGAGTAATCGAATGTTGTTTTTTTTTGTTTGTTTATTATTTAAATAGAGAATTAAAATCACCTGACAATTGCCAATGTTTAAGACCAGGTATTCCTTGTTCAATTCGTACATTTTTAATAGAATTATTTTTTGAACATAATACATTCGTTGATTTATTACATATTGATACATAAAGTGGACATAGTATTGTTTTATTACCTACATAACACCATTTATCTGGACGACAATAAGTCATTACATCGTTATGAAGTACAGATGATTTAATTAAATGTGATGGATTCGACCCAACCAGACAAATACTAAACAATAAAAAAAAACATTCGATTTACGATAAAGAATCGCGTCGGGTTTAACGACGTATCTTGAATGAGGGTACCATATATGTAATTCTCTAGAGAAGATTATGGCACATTGAATGGTACATAAGAAATCAAGGTTTCTAACAACAAGTGAGTATCAATTTGAACCCTTCTCAAAAATTGCACACTATGGAGCTCCTAATTTATGCATACACATAACATCCTTCAAAACAGCAAGGAATCATTGTCAAGTTGCAATATTGTCTTCTAGAATAGCCTATTTTCCTGTGTGAAGAGGCCAATATATTAACGATATTTTAATAATACTCAACGATTCTATTAAAAACTTTTATATATTAATAATCAGCGCAGCATCCCTGATGAACGGATATGAATAACTTCTTTATAACACGAAATAAATGTTTTGATCTTCAGACTCCTGGAGAGAAGTACGGATATAGGCTTGCAGGTAGGAGGTCTGTTATTTTTATTATTTCTTTTTCAAATTTTTCTTCTGAGTATCCGGATTTGATTTTTGCATGAAACTCCTCAAGCATCTATAAATATTTTATGTTTATTTCAAAAAGAAAATTTTTCCAATATCTCCATATCCTTCTTCAGAAATCTAGATGCCAAAAGTTATTGTTTCCGTTTATAGAAGAGTTATGTATATTAATTCATCAGAGATGCTATGCTGATTATCGACACATAAAAAGATTTAATAGGACCATTGAGTTTTGTTAAAATACTGTCAATTAACGGGGTGTGACTGTGAAAAGTAGGCTATTCCAGAGGACGATCTTGCAAGTTGACAACGAGTCCCTATTGTTCCGAAAGATATTATGTGTGAAACATATACAGCTCGAAGAGTTGCATGTTGATGCTCACTTGTTCTGTGACATAGAGTTGAACACACACTAGAAAAATCATACGGTCAAGAATTAGCCTAGACATAAGAAAATCGAATTGAGTTTACAAACAACATTTGTAGAAGTTTATCGTAGGAAGCACAACGTCTATGAGTATCCTATAGTATCTCCCAAGCATTACAACCAGTGTATCAATTCTTGGCAGGTGAAAATTTTCATAAAGTTTGATTTCTTATGTACCATCATTCGATGCATAACAATTTGCTCTAGAAAATTTTGTTGCAACAAGAATAGAAAAAGTTCTCATGTTTGAATAACATAAAATGAAAATTCTAAGAGAAATCTAAGTTAGATACACAATACTTTTAGAATCTCTACTATCTTTGATCAACTGATTAGTGTACTTGATGTCAAATGTCTATTATTCATATTTATACTCATTGCTTATACAAGTATAATCTTTCATGTAGTAGCATTTGACTACTGTATTCATATTCTAGAAACTGTACATAAGTACAAACTTTTATTACGATTGCACTTCCTTTATAGAAAAGATAATCTTAATGTTATCTTTCATTTTGTTTAATCCTCACAAGAGAAAAAGAAGATGTGATGCACGCATCGTTTCTTGTATTAGTAACAAAGTTAACGCATTCTTTAATATCAAAGCTTGATTCATTTAGTTCTTCTTTGTTGAATAATGCTAATTTAATTTTTTCTGGGCTATTGTAGCTGAATGGATATGACGTTTGCCATGTACGTTAAAAATAGTACACTGACAGATGACTCTCGCTATACTTGAGAGTCAAACAAATTGAGACTGATATAGAGAGTACTGTGTAAATTCAGCTTACTGATATAAATGATTATTAAGATTCCTAGTTGAACAAGCTCTTAATCTTTTGAAAGATTTGCCGGTCAAAAGTAGCGCTCAAGTATTCTAGTCATTCATTCATGTGTTTATAAGTAATGTGTATTTTCTTCTTCGTTATTCTAGATTGTAGTCTCTTAACCATAATTAAATTTGAAGAATTCGGCTTCTTTGAACCATCTATTTTAGTGTCTATTCAAAATCTTTATATAGAATAACATATAACATTAGCCATGGCTACGTAATTACAAACCAGAATAACTTATGAATATATAAATGAATAACTAAAATATTTGATTGCTACTTTTGATAGACAAATCTTTAAAAAGATTAAAAGATTTGTTTAACGTTTGACCTTAATAAACATTCGTATTAGTAGATTGAGTATACACAGTACTCTATGTTAGGCTCAATAGTTATTCACGGTTATTACTTTTAATCACCTGCTCATGAGTATGTGTACTTGGTTGTTGTATACATATATTGTTCTAATTAATGCTCGTAATATATTTACTCAAGAAAGTTTGTTTAAGGATGTGCAGTTTCGGTGAAAATACTGACAGTGAGTCTATTGGCACACTCATACAGTATAGAATGTGTCAAGTAAATGAGTGAACACCGATCTAGTGTAGTCAGTGAATAGTTTAATAAAAAAAAAAGTGCATACCCCTAGGTTAGTGCGCTAATAGTAAATATGTATAGGAAGTTCAATGAGCGAAAAAACTCTGAGTCAGGCTACTCTTCTGTTGTTGAGTGTATCTTTTTTAAAAACATTTCTAATGAGAATGATACTATTATATTTCTCCTTGGGAAAATTAATCTAACGACGAACAAGTTCATTTCTATAAGTCATAAAAAATTCAACTTACGGTAAATCCGGTGGATTAAACGAACTTTTAATAACACCAGCATAAATACATAGAAGGGAAATAAGTACAGCCAATAATGATAATGGTGCTATTTTCGTTACAAATTTAATACCAATTAAAACACAAGCTCCAATAATGAGAAGTAATAATGTACCATATATGCGATAATGATTAAACGCTACAAATGGTATTTCAACATCATCACCAAATAGACGACATTTGTCTGGACACATATATTTCTTTCAAAGAATAAATATTTTCAATAGATTAAAAATAATCGTTTTGTTTTTTAGAATATACATACGACTACAATCTCAATAGCTCCAACAATATACATAGATGCAGCAAATGTATTACCAAGATAAAATAATATTCCAACTGCACCACCAAATTCTGGTCCAAGTGAACGAGATATCATAAAATAAGCACCACCAGCTGGTACAATCCCGTTTGTTGCAATCGCCGCCATTGATATAGCTGTTAGAAGAGTCTAGATAAAAGTAACGAACCAAAGAAAAACATTGTCAAGAATATAAAATATATAAATATATTTTCATACACATGAACTACAAATAATCACAATCAACAGTGTTTGAAGTACACCAGCTATACCAATTAACCAAAAAAGACGAATAAAGACAATAACACCTAAATAAAATAATATGGTAAATCAAAGTTAACACGCATAAAACTTATATCATACCTATTATATTTTGAACACAAGGAAGATAAACACCAAAGATTGTACCAAGATTTGCTGAATTCTATTTAAAAAATAAATAAATTTCATTTGTTTTTCTTTGACATGAAAAGCTTGAAACCTGTCGAACTGCTGTTTGTTTTTCAGCTTCGATTGCATTTGGTACAATACCCCCAGTATAATCATATAATTGATCAAGTACAGTACGTGGTCCATGATCGTGTTCCTAAGAGATAATCCTATATAAGACTATTCATTATAGATAATCTTTTCATACTTCAAAAATACTTTCATTAAATTTAATTGAAACATCAGGTTCTATTTGCAATGGTATTTTTTCATGTTCTATCGTTGCATTTGAATTAGTCACTTTTTCTAAAACTAATGAAAAAAATATTTGCTTTTAAACATTAATTCTTCTCTGCCTTTTTGTTTTTGTTTTGTCTATTTTATTTAATTAAAACGAATTTACATACCATTTTCGTTAATATCATGCACGTCGGCTGATTTAGTAATAACAAAACGTCCACTCTTTTCACCAGATAATAATGGACCTAGAAACAAAAGATACGAAAGTTTCTTTAAGAAAAAAAAAACAGAAACTCTGCCTCAATCATTTAATAGCATGATTTCTTTTTTCTAAGATGAAATAGAGAGTATATAATCTAATCTGACATGCCTCGATCATTCGACATTAGACAAGTACACGCAAAATAGTAATCAACAGTGCATAGTGAGTTTTCTTATTCGTCTAATTATTTTGACATTGACGATGAAAAATTTATGAACCGTCTATCTTCAACAAGTCGTTGATTAGTTTTTTGAACAAACCTTGTGTTGATCCAGCTGATGGATCATCGAGATTTACACTCATTGTTCGATGTTGTTGATCATCACTAAATGAAACATGATAAGGTGATCGATTTGATAAATTGGACATTTCCTGTTGTTGATTCTTTGTTTTTAGTTGATCTTGCCGTTATCTACTAAAATATAAAGTGAAGAGAATTCATTTATACAATAAACAAGAAAAAAGAAGAAAGTAAGATAATATGACATTGTATCCGGTTGCTTTGTATTAGTTCTTTTTCCCTCCCTCATTTCTACCTGATTGTCGACTTGAAAAGTCTTTTTTTGTAGTTTGAATAATTAGATGAGTCGTAATGGCACTAATATAGTTTCTATACTGCTTTCTTACGATACTGTCGTTCTTGTTGCGTTCTTCTTTTTCTTATTTTCTTTATATTCCTTATTCTCAAGCAAATGCTAGTTGCTACAAATCTCGTCACTATTATGTTGCTTCTTAATAACACTTGAATAGTTGACGAACTTCGAAGGATATAATAGAAAAAAAAATCAGCACGACAACACAACGAGGTTATTTTTCAACTAGAGTAAAAAATATCAAACAGAATGGATAAGTGATAGTAACATGAGACAGATCATTATCTAACTATATATTAACTTAAAAAGAAGCGAATAAAATAACTTAAAGGATATACATTTATTTTTCAGTTAGAAACATGCAATTCTCATAAGAGTCGTCAAACAAAATGAAGTATAAATCACATTTATCCTAAAGCTAAACCTACGTGCATACGATGAAGTGGTAGAAAAAACAAATTCATTATTTAGCGATTGACACTTGTAAGTCTTAGTTGAAATCGTTCGACTAAAAGCTTTATGAGTCTTTTTCTTCTATCTATGTGTTATACATCTACACTTTTTTTCTTCTATGACAGGCAATTTTCTGCGACCTTTACTCTTCAGAAATTTCTTTTTCATTCATTTTACCTCTATTTTTAATTTCAAATAATAGTAACATTAGTTCCAGACAGAATACTGCATCATCATTAATAAGAAGATTAACAACATTTTTAATAATAACAATTTTTATAGAACAGCAAAAAGAAAAAAAAAACGAAAGAACGAGTAAAAAAAACCAGAACACCTAATTGAGATCTCATTCTGTATTTATGAATTCAGTTTAATAGTCATTCTTCTTGTTTTGCTTTTTGATAAAATCAAATTAGTCTCAGAAAAATTATTCGACTTTGAAGACAAATATTGATGAATCTTCCGACATAAACTCACTTTGAGCATGATCGAATACAGTAATCGATTTGTCTATCAAATCCTTTTCTTTTTCTTTTTCTTATTTCTTTTTTGACATCTCTGAAAGAATCTTCCTTTTCAATACACTCAATCGTTTGGGCAAGTGATGCGTTATACCGAAAAAAAAGAATATATATTTGTATCTGAATAACATGCAAGAAAAAAAAATGAGCTATATCTAGTCTAATTTCCGATAACTAGTGCTCTATTGTCATTATTCATATGATTAGTTTCCAAGCAGTTTTTTTTGAATTCTTCTCTTTCTTTTGCCTGTAGCTTATGTCACTAACATCCGGTTATATACCTGTAATATTTTCTTTCATGTACTTGATATAAAAGTTGTATAGATAAAAATGAAACGCACTCGAAAACATGAACAGTTTATGTTAATGCGCATGTATATTTATTTATATGCAAGTCACGATTACATATAGATATGACAATAATTATTATCATATTACAGAAACATACTAACTCAACCACTACTATAACATCAAGAAGCAGAATGATTCTCTATGCCTCATTAACATAAGATGTCTATGTGAACATATCAAAAGCTTGCAGGAGCATTGTCGGTCACAGCTGTAAACAATCATTTGACATTGTCTTTTATGTATGTCTATATATATTCTAGAAATCTGTTCGCAAAGCAGTTTTGAATTCACAATGAATGCATTAACTATAATGTGAAAGAAAAAAAAATCATACACTCACATGAATCTAAACTTTAATTACATTGAAAAATACTTCAACATAACTGTTGTTAGAGAATGTACTTGTCGATAGTTCTCTTCGTTTTTTATTTTTATTCTTCTATCTGTATGTTCGCTTATATATATATTTATATATATATATATAGATGGATGTGTTTTTTTAAGACCTGAATAATATGCATAAGTAAGATAATCGCCTCAAGATATGATGATAATAAACAACTGTTCAAATCTCTAGAGTGTTTTATAAATCAAATTGAATGCTTAGATCACACTTGTAACTCTGTAGTATTACACAAGAGGAATGAAAATTGATAATTTAATTAAAAAAAAAGAAAATTTTTCTTACATGTCTAGATGAAAACTAGGATGGGAAAAGTCAATCAGCATGAATAGTATTTACTTTTATATTTTAATTCATTACTGATTTAACATATCGATTGGAAAGGAAATTCATCTGTGTAAACAAGTACATGACGACGATTAGTGATTGTTTCTATTTTCTTTTTTATTCTCGCCGGTTTTTTCTATGAATCAATTAAATAACATTCTATAGATATTGTACCACTCTCCTATTGAACTAAATGATTCATTCGACAACTGACACTATTCTTATCTTCAGGAAAATAATAAAAATATATTAATATTCAAAGAGTTATATATAAAACAAAGGAAATATAATATTCAATATCTAATGAGAAATCGAAAGGGGTCGCTGATGATTTTATTTAATGAAGTCCATCACATAACGACAATGCTTACATATATGTTCTCTATGTGTTCAATTTAATATTTATGTAAACAATAAAGTTACTTATGAAACATATCAATCAGTTATAATTTTCAAGTTAAGTGTACTTATAAAAAGAAATAACGAAAGAAAATTAAAATTAGATTTCTTTTCAAGGACGGAGAGAATTTTTCTCGATTCTTGTGTCTTTTTTTATTACATACGGGCTACAAAAATTGTGATGAATAAAGAAAATATATAAGACGTCATCAACAGAGTCGACCATTAACATATTGATGTAACTAAAACGGCAAAGAGAACAAAAAGATAAATAATCGATCCTTTGTCGAGACAATATATCATATTACCTAGTTTTGATAGCATGTTATTTCTTTCTCTCAAGTACAAATATATGTTATAAAATTGCATTTTAGTCAAACATAAAAAGAGATAACATAATATCGAAACAAAGTTTTCGATACTCATTCTTGTAATGTTAATTATTATTATTTAATTAAAGAAATTATAGGTCTTATCTAGTTTGATCCTAATATTAATTCCTATAATGATTTTGTTATATTTCAAACTGAATTCAAGCAATGCATTATATGTATAAAATAGTGGTGTCAGCAGAAAAAAAGTTGTAGGAGGCTTCAGTTCCCTTGTCGATATCTGGAGAGAAGACGTATTCTCTCTGATGATGTTTCTGTGAGAGAGACCGAATAGCTTGTAAGAAGAAGAAGTGGTTGCTCAGTCTTCGTCCGTTTATGCCACATGTAGACAATCAATTAATAAAGAAAAAGTGTTTTGAATTATATGAGGATCATGTGCTTCATACAATTTATTTTATTTATACTATAATCTAATTTTAGAACAAGCTGTTCTTATCGATAGATAATTGTCAGCATTTTATTTGTTGAGACAATATCAAACAGCTACGAAAAGAAAGATTAGTGCAAAATGAGTGATGAAGAATTAGTGTTGGTAAGTAAAAGAATGAGCATTCGTGGCAGATAACACACTTATCTCAAAAGCTAATTGATCGATTCGGCAAAATTAAATAATAATAATGATATCATCTAATGAAAGAACACCCATAAACTCAGAACATTAATAAAGGGTTCAGGTTTTTTTTCTTCACTTACCTAACAACAACAGCCGATCTGTTTCTTCTATTTATTGTAGTTTTTGTGTTTTATGTATGTTCGTAAAAGTAGCATTGTTATTTCTTATATATTATTAATAAATTAGATGAACCAAAGTATGCTTCTTATTGATGATCATTTCGGAGTAAATACACTTTGGTAATCAAAAATATTCATATACCATAATATTTTCTGTATCAATTATTTAATCGTATTATTTTACATTTCCCAAGAGATTACCAAGCCAAAAAAACAAATATATATATCGACATTTTGAAAAATAAAAATTATATAGATCAAATGAAGTAGTTCAATGGTATTCAAATTACTTATATGTTGATATACTAATTAATAAAGTTTTAAGAAATTACATAAAGATCAATTATTTTATTGACAATTTTTCAGAAAATTTTGTTCGTAAATATAAAAGAATTTTATTATCCGTAAAACGAATATTAGTTGTTTATTGAAGAGCAACATTAACAAAAGAAAATAAACTTATTTTGATGAAGTTTTATCAGCTAGTCGACTGCAGGCACTAGCACTTACTTTCGCTATGAAACTTACCCAACACATTGATGCAATATTTGTTTTCCTTGAAATCAAATGTAATATACAGTAACTTAATAAAATGTTTATCTTTGTTCATTTGTTTCCATTTCCTGAATATGCTGAGAGACATCAATATGATTTGATTTAATTATTACTTCGTGATTAGATTGCAATCGACATGACGGAAAAATTTCGGTTGATCACAATGAATGCGCCTAATGATATTGTATTCGAAAGATTTTTACTTGATTTTGATCAATATGATAAATCATAAAAAAATTCCTAAAATAATCCCAATGATGAAATAATTGAAGGAAAATATAATGAAACTTAAAAATTCTATCAATGAATTTTTTGAATACAAAAAATATATTCTTCATCTGTTTACATTGAGAAATATTCATAATGTCTTATAGGACAATATGAAAAAGTTTTCGCATATTATGTAAAATCTTTAAAAATGTAAGAAAAATATTGTATTTTTTTAAATCATAAAAATATTTATTACTATTATTGGTAACATTTTACCATCGGCAAGAAATGTATGATAACACTAATCAATTTCATCAATAAGAGCATGAAAAAAAAAAATATTCTGACATGCCTGTTGTATAGAATTACGAAAATGATATCTAATTGCTGTCGATAAATAATGATCAGTTATAAAGAAAATATTTGATTTCGATATTGTTTAATTTCATATTTTTCGTAGACAAAAATGATTAAGAATAATAATGAAAAATCGACATAAAAAAAAATTATCATCAACCAGGGAACTGATTGATAATGACAGATTAATACAGAATTCGACGGCATAAAGAAAATAAACAAAAACATTTTTTGACAAAAATAATATTATGCTCAATCATTGCATAACAAATCTTTTCGTTTATCATATGGATATGAAATCGATGATTTTCGTCGTTATAACTCATAAACACATCACATCGCTACTTATTCCTTCATCAATTTCGCTAAAAATTTTCGCCTCACACTTTATGCCACTAACATTTCATTTATCAAGATTACAAGTAGAATTGTAGATAGATATAGGCAAGATGATCCCAATTCTGGAGAATTTGAAACCGATATCAAAACTTCTTCTAACTAAGACTGAGACTAAAAACGATTGATTTCGCTCATGTTTAATCAAAGATCACAAGATGTACCATGAGAAAATTCTTGCATACTTCTTAGACATTTTTATAGTAACACTATTCATTAGTGGCATCATCAGGTAGAAGTAAGAAGGAACTCAGCCCCCTCTAGAAATATCCAAACCTCCCTTTCCGTTAAAAAATTCAAAGTTATTACGAATCATAATGTAGGTTTCTTCTAGAAAGAGCTGACGAAGTGTTAAGATCCTCTCGAATATTTTTTTTGTATTTTACATCACTGCTATGAATGTAATCTCTACTATTAAAACTCTTGATTATCAAGCGCCATCTACTAATTCTATTCGATTGCTCGATAAAAGTCTTCCAGTTAATATTTGTATTCATAATGTACTTTCTGTTTCTATTTTTACGAAATATTTCCAACGAATAGATGACTTCAATAACATCAAAAGATACGAATTTTGCACTTGTCGGTATACGATTAGGTGCAAGTAATATAGTTATTGCTTATTTCAAAGTAAAATCAATTTTATTTTTTTGAATTTTAATTTTCTTGATATTGAAAAACTTTCAATTCAATTTAGGATGGTCGAAGTGAAACTATTGTTAATGAGTTAGGTGATCGTGTTACACCAACATTTATTACATTCAATGAAGGAAATGATATTGTATGGACTTTATACTTTTCATATTAAATCTATTTTTATCTTTTATATAGTCTATAGGACTTCCATCAAAACAAAGTCTTGTACGTAATCAACATAATACAATAATATGGTCACCACATTTTGTTGAAAAACATGATGATAATGATGTTTTATTAACAAATTATGATCAAAAATCTCCTATAAATGTACGTAACTATGTGAATGTTTAACAACAAATAAAATTATTTTCTCTAGGTTATTGAAAATGAAAATCGTATAGAATTTTCTTTAACAATTGATGGTAAAACAAAATTAATTAATCTTGAAACTGTTATAATTAATCTATTAAATTATGTTCGACGTAAGTTAACATAAACAAAAATAACAATTCTTTATTTTGAAAAATAATTCTTTTCATAGAACTTGTTCAAGCTGTTACTGGTTCACGTGAAGTACAAGCTGTATTATCTGTACCTTATAAAATGACTCAAACAAATAATCAAGATTTACTTCGGTAAGAAAATGAAAAGTGAAAAAAAAAAACAAGATGTTTATAAATTCTCTTTGTAGAACTTGCATGAAGAAAAGTGGTATTGAACTTCATTCAATTATATCTGATGCATGTTCAGCTTGTTTGGCTTATGAATTAGATAAAGATAGTGGACATATTGAAAGGTTTTATATTTTTTTTTATTAGAAAATTAATCATAGAAATTCTTTTGTTTAATTTTTAGTCATGTTCTTGTTTATCGTCTTGGTGGTTCAACATATGAATGTTCAATTATTCGAACTATTGGTGGTTGTTTTCAAACAATAGCATCAGTAAATGGATTTGAAAATAGTGGTGATGCTTTTACAGATCTTATTATAGATATTATTGCTGATGAATTTCAAAAGTATTGTTTCTCTTTGTTTTTTAGGTATGTAAAAGAAAAAATTTTTGTCTTGTTTAGAAAAAATAAAAGTGATCCAAGATTATCATCAAGATCATTACTTAAACTTCGTGCTTGTTCTGAACAAGCTAAACATGTTTTATCAACAACAGCTGGTACTCAATGTTCAATTGATGCATTACATGATGGTATTGATCTTGATTGTAATATTAGCAGGTTTGAAAAATTATTAATTTATTATTTTTATTTTTTTCGTTTTATTAGACTTCGTTTTGAAGGTGCAGCAAATTCATTAATTAATAATTGTTTAAAACCTATCGATGTTGTACTTGATAAAACAGAATTACAAGTTGATGATATTAAATTAGTAAATAATATTTTCTTTTGTTTTTAATAATTTTTTTATGAGTTTCTTTAGATTGTCTTATGTGGTGGTGGTACAAAAATTCCTAAATTGCGTGATGCTATTCAAGATAGATTACCTAATGCAGACATGCTTTCATCAATCAATGGTGATGAAATCATTGCACTTGGTGCAGCAAGACAAGTAAATATGCTTTCGGAAAAAAAGAAAGAAATTTTAATAGTTATTTATCTTTTTAGTGTTATATTGAAAATAAATATGCTAAAGTTCACTTGTCAACGGTATGTATTTTGTTTAAAAAAAAATTCACAAAGATATACAGGATAATAGAGTGAAGAGAGGAATCAGACTCAACTTTATGAAGGAAGATTTTCTAGATGTTAAACTGCTTTTCGACCGCGATGATGTTCATTTGATAATTAATAGGAAAGTCTAGAATGGTTTCGTTTTTGAGATATCGGAATTTTTTTTCTGCGGTTCCACTCATCTCTTATGCATATTAGCAATATATTTATATCTTCAGAAAAGCTAAAATTTGCACAATCAACTAATCTCATTGAGAACTTGGTACATTCAAAATTTGAAATCGAAAGTCGATTTTCATATGAACTAAGGAGAAAGAAAGATAGAATAAAATTTCGAGAATGAGAGTCCGGAAAATCATATCATTCTAGACTTTTCTGTTACTAATCAAATGAATATGGTCTCGGTCAAAAAGTAATGTAACATCTGGAGAAATTTCCTCGTTAGCGGAAAAGTTTCCTGACTTTTGCTTGAAATAGCGAAGATTGAAAACGTTTTCTAGGATCGTCTCATAACAAATGATTCTTCTTTTCATTACTTCACACAAGTTCGTTTCTAATCGATGCCCATCTAGCTATTCCCGGAAAAAGCTTATTCAAAATCATTTTTGGATAATCATGGATTTACTCTTATATTTTCTTAGTTGCAGTCTTAGTAATATACTCAAACGTTGATCGTACATATCTTTCTATATACGAGATTTATTGTTTACATGCAAATGTCATAGATAATAACACATTTGACATTCGCGACATATTTATCAAAGATATTTAGAAAATACTATTATTTTATAACGTTTAACTACACAATAAGGTTTTAATTGTCTCAATAAACATAAATTATCTTTTGTTTTATCATGAATAAGGATGAAGTCAAAATCCTATAGAATCAATCGTTCTCTTCATTATCAAAAAGAGAAATTTTGAATAAAAAACTTAAGAATAATTTTGTAAACTTTGTCATAATAAAAAAATTCTTTTCTGTCAGATCTTAACGACACTTCACTTGAGTTGAATATTATCTTTTCTTTTCTTTCTTTTTATTTCTAAGGATATTAATCATTATGAACGCGTTGGTGTACGTTATTTTCGTTCACATTTAATAATAACAGATGAGCAAGCAGCTGAAATAAGTGATAGTGATGTTGATGATAATGATGATGAAAAAGAAAATGATCAATTCGATATTGATTGGAATAAACATGAACCTTATTTACGTAAACTTGATTTAAGTGATTGGAAAAATCAAGATCATTATAAAGTATTAGGTTTATCAAAATTACGTTATAAAGCAACACAAAAACAAGTACGTAATGCACATAAATTAATGATATTACGTTATCATCCTGATAAATCTAAACGTCTTGAAAGTGAACGTTTTTCATTAATAACTCATGCATTTGAACTTCTGTCAAATCCAACATTAAGACGATCATATGATAGTATTGATCCTAAATTTGATGATTCAATACCAAATCCAACAACAGCTGACAATTTTTATGAACTATTTGGACCAGTTTTTGAACGTAATGCACGCTGGTCTGTACATCAGCATGTACCATTATTAGGAAATGATGATGCTTCATTTGAACAAGTGAATAAATTTTATCGATTTTGGTATGATTTTGTTTCTTGGCGAGAATATTCTTATTTAGGTAAATAGATAAAAAATATAATTTACATTTTCATAAAGAAATCTTTTTGTTTAGATGAAGAAGATAAATCTCAAGGACAAGATCGTGATGAACGACGTTATATTGAAAAATTAAATCGTGCTGAAAGACAAAAACGTAAAAAAACTGAAATAACACGTTTACGTACATTAGTTGATCGTGCTTATGCACTTGATCCACGTATAAAAAGACAAAAAAAAGAAGAACAACAACGAAAAGATGATGAAAAAATGCGTCGTAAACAAGAAATTGATAAAAGACGACAAGAACAAAAACAAAAAGAAACTGATGAAGCAAATCGTATTGCCGAAGAAAAACAACGTGTAGAAGAAGAAGCAAAACGTAAACAAGATGAAGCTAAACGTGAAAAAGACGCACAAAAAAAATTAATGAAGTATGTCATTAAAAAATCTTCTCAGTCTCAAATAATGATGCCAAATTCCGATCAACTATTTATGTTCACTGTCGAGGGACTGTTTTCAATTGATCAATCACTTTTGAATTCAGACTCAGTACAACAAAGTAAAATCCAGTGAGATATGAAAAATCTCAAAAGGATAAGTTCCTTTAGACCTTCTGTTCAGAGTTATGACCATTTTACTAGAATTTTAGTTTCTGGCATGGTATATACCAACAAATCGAATACTGGTATTTCAATCTGAGATTTTGCCTATGGACTAACCTGTTTGTTAGGTGAATTTCTTGAAAATTTTAGCTCGGGAAGGAAATACTCTTTTGAGCTGCAGTTTTCAGAGCGTTCTACTAACAAATAGATCTATATCAGAGACTAAAATTCTAGTCAAGTGCCTATAACTCTAAACAGAAATCCTAATGGGACGTATCCTTTTGAGGCTTCTCATTTCTCAATAGACTCTACCTTATGCTCTGAGTTCGAATTTAAGAGCGATTGATCAGTTGAAAGCATTTTCTTGTAAGATATGTTATTTGACTTTTCACGAAGTCAAGGTCTAACATACTTCTTTCTCATTTTGAGCAGGATGTCAAGTATCCCGACGATAGTGATAGACATTACTAGAAATTTGCATCAAGGACAATGAAGACGAACAGCTCCAAAAAATGATGTTGAGTATTGTTTAGTAATAGGTAGTAGTAAAATTATTCAGACTACCAGAAATCATAAAGAAACCAATGGACTGCATGAAATAAAAAAAAGAGGAATACTGTCCCACATGCTCCAGTGAGTATTCAAGAAGTCTGCAGTCTGCTAGTCGGATACCTGTATCCGACTATGGGTATGAAAAGTAACGATTTGTGGAGACACAAACTTCATTCGTAATCGTATAATTCATAGAAAATTTATAAAAAATTTTAGGACTACTGTTCAATAGCACTATTCTTGATCACATAGTTGACCGGTTGTTCTGTTAAACTATTCGCGATATGTCACAGTAATATAACCCACGTGTTGAGTAAGGATACGAAAAGTTGTGACTGTACAATACTCTATAGTTCTGCTGACTTTCTAGCATAGATCTATTTGAGTTGGAAGAAAAATAACGAACTATGAAACCCTGCAAAAGCTTTCCTTGCAATGGAAAGTTATAGATTTTCAGAAAACCAAAGAGATTTTAAAAGCCTAGAAATAATGTTAACCTCAGGCGTTTAAGATTTTCAACTTAATATGCTGAAAACTAGTTGTACATTGATGTAAATTTCTTAACTAAAATTTCAATTTTTTGAAGGATCTTCTATTACCGATGGGGATTTCTTTTCTGTATTCATTGTGTCTATTTTTAGGAAAGAAAAGAAACAATTACGTGATCTATGTAAAGAAGCTAATTATTTCAATGATTCTGCTTCACCACCAAATCTAAAACAAGTTGAACAAATTGACACATTGATTGAATATCTTCCAATTGATGATTTAAAAGCATTAAATGAAAAATTAAAAGAAGAAAATGCTGATCCACGTTCAATAATTTTATCTGAAATTAAAAAAATGGATGAACAAATACAACAATCACGTTTAGAATTATCACAACAATCATCATCATCATCATTAACATCATCATCAAATTCAAATTCAAAATTCAAATGGACATCAGATGAAATTGAATTACTTGTTAAAGCACTTCGCGTGTATCCAGCTGGTGTACAAAATCGTTGGTTAGTTGTACAAGAATATCTTAAACGTAGTGGTGGAAATCCACTTCGTTCAGTGCAAGATATAATGCAAAAAGCAAAAGATATAGCAAGTGGTAAAAAAGAAGTTGCAGAAACAATATCATCATTAGATCATATTGCACTGAATTCACATAAACAATCAACATTATTAGAAAATCAAGCTAAACTTAATCAATTAACGCTTAGTGAACGTGATTTAGATACTCCATTAACAACACCATGGACAGTGGATGAACAACGTATATTCGAACAAGCATTAAGAACATATCCAGCAACATTAGGTCCATCACGATGGGATCAAATAGCTGAATGTTTACCGACAAGAAGTAAAAAAGAATGTTTAGAACGTTATAAAGAATTAGCTAGAATGGTTCAAGCTAAAAAAGCAACAAACAAATCTTAAAAGAAAAAAAGAACAGTGCATCTATATTTGAAAAGATACAAAAAAAGAATTATTCAAAAGAAATGATAATCTTTCTCAATGCTTTTCTTATTACTATTTTTTTTTCACATTCTTTATTATCGTGTGTGAATAACTTTTGTTTAAAACAAAAATCTATATAAACTAGGCAATTGTTAAGCACATACTTCAAAAGGATTCCGACAAGATGAAATACAATTTGTGATGAAAGGAAGTTTTCTATTAATGTACATTGGTAATGATTCAAATTCTTTTATCTAAACTTTTCATCGTAGACGTCAGTAATTATTAATAATCGTATTTTATATAGGGGAGATAACAAAAGAAAGGGTTGATGTAAAAAATGTTAGATTAAAATGTGGGCTTTTTACATAGTAAATTTTAATCATTTATCGATATTGACAACAATGAAGTGAAGCTTTTGTCTATTTCTACAGTGTGACGAAGATTCGGTTTTATTAAGGTTATACGAATCACGCAAATATTATTGCATATAGTCTTCTTTACTAATAAAAGTGAGAAATGATGGTACGATAGTCATAAAAACTCTATTTTAAACACACTTAATCCAGGCATAGTGGCTAGTAAGACAAACTCACACAAACAATCTAAAGTAACATATCTATATCAATTGTGAATAAAAAAAAATTCGTTGTTCAAAGTCTGTAACATCATTTTTCACTGGAACTTAACCTTAATGATATTAAGTGCAGTTTTCATAAAACAACGTCAAATGCCAATGTCTAGCGACATCTAGAAACAAATAATCGAATTAAAATGAAAAACTCATGCCTAAATTACGTTAAATTGTATTTATATTTTTGAATTCTCTTATAATGAAATATTTTCTATGAAGATGAATGTTGACTTGATAGGTGACTACCATAGAAAGGTTTTATAAAATGAAGAAATTGTATTTTTTTTTCTTTTTTTTTTGAAGTTGCCTAGCCGAACAACGGCATAACTAATGCAAAATTAGCCTTTCTTCAACTTCAATCAAGTTTTTTTTCATTTCTACAAAAAAATGGTAAATCATTTAATACATAAAATACTTTTGAAATAATACTTTTCTCTAGGCTTTAACTCGCCAATTATATAAACAACAAGGTAGTAGTAGTAATGGTGGAAACAGTTGGATAGCTAATCAAAATGTTCGACGTCAACAAGAAGCTGATCGAACTTTACGTGAACGACAATTAGCACAAGGCCGTATTGATACTGAAATGCAAGAATTTGAAGCTAAGGCAACTAATAAACGACATGTGCGTGAACAAGCACGTGTTGAACGTGATCGAGCCATGGAAGAAGCGATTATAAAAGCACAATGTGAAAAAAAATTATCTACCGAAGCACGAAGTCAAGAAGAACGTTTAGCTATGGAACTTGAACGTATAAAACATGAAAAATTACGTGATGAAAAAATGCGACAACAAATTCGGTATTTTTGTCAAAAAAGAAAACTTGATTATGATATTCTTGTTTTTTGTTTGTTTATCTTAGTGAAACAAGCTATGAATTACGTGAATTAGAATCAAAATTACGGGCTGCTTATGTTCAAAAAGAACGCACAGCACAAATGGCTGAAAAAGAAGCTATCAAATTTGATTCCTATTTAGAAGATGCTGAAATAGCTCGACGTATGCGTAGTGAAAGTGATAAAGCTGAACAAGAACGTCGTCAACGTGAAGTTATTCGACAACAAGAAATGGTACGTTATAAACAAGAACTTGAACGACAACTTGAAGAACGTGAAATTGGTAAACAAAAAGCTTATGAAGAATTTCTACGAGAAAAATTGGTTATTGATGAAATTGTTAGAAAGATTTATGAAGAAGATCAACGGTAAGTTTATAAAACTAACAAAAAAATGTTTACTGACCAATTTTAATCACATATGATTCGTTTTATACTCAAACATAAGTTTTATTTTTCATGATTTCGATTTAAACAGTGTTTTTTTTTTCATTAGGCGAAAGTCAAAGAGGAAAGGTATGTCGTAACGATGCCTGAGATGATGTGTCATCATGTATCGAAATAGTAAATCTAGTTGAACGAATAGATAAAATTGAATACCTATATATTCATGGTAGCTAGCTTTCAGTTATTTTAGACGTATCTAAAAGTCCTTGTTATACTTATACTTAACGTTTTGGTCAGATTTTACCTTTCGGATGGACGAACACATACTACATAGTTCAATAGCCGCAAATTCTGTTTTCATAGAGTTGCTGCCATTTCGATCTTCATGCTGGATAAGCTTTTTTTGTACCCTGATTGGGGAAGAAAGGTTCTCAAGTATGAATCACCATTCGAACTTATATTAAATTCAAAAATAAGCCCAGACAAAACTAGCAGAAGTCTATAAAGGTTGGTTTCTGTGCACTCTTCTTCCTAAGTAACTACAGTTTTACTAAGGTTTTTTTTTATCTTTGTCAAGGTATTTGTGAAAAAATCGAATTAGAAAATTGCAAGATAAAATTTTGCCTATAGATAGGTCTCATGAATCTTAGAATGCCTTGGAAATTTGAGTTCAAATGGATGTACTGTTTCTGAGATATTGAATATTCAATATTTTAAGAAGAATACATCCCTTCGAATTCAAATTTACAGGGTATTCTAATGTCCATGAGATCTACCAAAATACCTCGCCAGAGTTAAAAAGATCAGTAAAATTGTAATAACTTGGCAAGAAAAGTACAAAAGGATAAACTCCTATTAGTATCATCAAAGACGTTCTCGCATGATCCAAATTTTCTAATGTTTACCTTCCATACGAATTTTTTTTTATTTCACTCTCCCTTAACCTTACCTTAGTTGGAAGTAGATCTGATGGATTCTACCTTGAAAACTCTAAAAGTAATAAATAGCAAAATATTATCACGTTAAAGATGTGCAGGGTAAGCTTTTGTTTTTGTATGCTGACTGAAACAAGTTTTCTAACCCTTATATTTATCCTGCAAAGTTAGCAGGTTAACATCGCACGTCTGTAATACTGATCGTCCATATATATTAAATTCATAATCATCGTAAGTTAATAAATGAGACAAAGCATGAAATAATTATAAAACAAATGTTACTCAGACATCAAGTCCAATTACACAATTACTTAATGTAAAGCATAATGACAAGAAAACTCTTTGCAAATAAACTTATTGATTTCAATTCTCAAATCTAGGATCAAATATATTTCCATTCTTTAATTTCATAGCTTTTCAATTCTAAGCTTTACACATCATTCAAAAGCTTTTAGTGATCTTCAAAATACCAGTAGTTGGCGTTAGGATTTTTCTCTTGAGATACGATGTCCTTTTTATCTCTTCAATATAGTGAAATGGAACGTAAATTGGAACGTCAACGTGCTACACGTGAATTCATAGTTGAATTTAAACGTAAACGTGAAGAATGGAAAGCTTTGGAACGTCAACGTATGGAAGAAGAAAATCGTCGTATAAAAGAATTTGCTAAAGCTCAAGAACAACGAGAAGAAGTAGCTAAAGCTGAAAAACGTGCACGTGAAGAAGCATTAGATAAAGTTCAACGTACATTAGCTGAACAAATAAAACGTGATCGTGAAGAACGTGAAGAACAAGAATTAGTTCGACAAGAATTGTATTTGGAAGAACAAGAACAAGCTCTACGAAGACGTGAACGTGATGAAATGGAAGCACGTATTAGACAACGTCTTGAATTACAACGTGAACGTGATGAACAAATACAATTTAAACGTTTACGTAATGTAGAAATTCAACAAGAAGAAGAAAGATTTAGACAACAAGTTTGAGAAAAAAAAATTCATTATAAAATTTTTATTTTCTTTTTTTTGCATATGTATAGTTAATGGCGAAATTTGCTGAAGATGATCGTATTGAACAAATGAATGCTCAAAAACGTCGTATGAAACAAGTGGAACATAAAAGAGCTGTGGATGTTTTACTTGAAGAACGTCGACGTCAAATGGCAATTGATAAAGTTTGTATTTTGTTAAATATTTCATACAATAATTTATATATTGATTTATTTATTTAGCAACGTGAAATTAATGAACGTGTTGAAGCTGAACGTATTGAACAAATTCGTAAAGAAATTATCGAAGAAGAACGTATTAAATTACTTCGTGAACATGCTCATCGTTTATTGGGATATTTACCAAAGGTAACAAAAAAATAAATAAATAAATCAAAGAATTTAAAAAATATATATTATATTATTTAGGGTGTTATTCGTGATGAAAAAGATCTTGATCATCTTGGCAGTGATTTCAAAAATGAATTCAAACGACGACAAACCAATATGCAAAATCCAGATGGATGGGACAATATGTGAACATTATCTTTCTTTTTTTTTTCAACAAAAAAAGTCAAATAAACACATACGTTTATTTTACAATTAGTCTTTATAATATTAATGAATCAAAAACAATGAAATCGATAGAATGAAAAATAGGAATATAAATTTTATTTTTTTCAGACATAAACCAAAAGACAACCGTAGAGAATATACAACACATAATATGCATCAAGATTGAATTTGAAACAGTAAAAATTCGCAGTATTGACAGCTACAAGCTTGTTTCTAGAAAAAAAGTCACAACCACGTTGATACTTTATGTTGCTTTCATACGAAAAAAAGTATTTTGTAAAGTTGAAAAAAATATTATACTATAAATAAATAATGATTAATGATACCTCGTTTTTTATAATTATAATGATGTAAATAAAATATATTGAATAAACACATGGGCAAAAAGAAATATTTTAAGTACGATTTTTCAGTGATGGATAATAACATCAAAATGAAATAAGAGCGTAATTATAAGAAATTACAACGTTTATTTCTCGATTTATTATTATTCGTTAAAGACTTTTTTTTTACAAATAAATGAATATTTATAATTTTTGTTATTAAACTTTTCATAATGTACTAATAGATTTTTTACAATAATTATTTTTGCAAACGTATTCAAGGTTAATCTAGAAAAAAAA